GCTACACTACGGAACCACACTAGGCGTCGGCCTACACACCGATATTGTAGCGACTGCAGCCTAACACTCATTGTCAGATCTCGAATCGACTCCCGCTTGGAACACTCACGCCTTTTATTCCACCTGGGCTGGAAGATTGTTACCAGAGTTGCCTGGGAGGATAAAAACACTGATTCATTCATTGGACAGCCACGAAAGACATCGTATCGGCCAAATCTTATTCAAGCGCCCCTGCAATTCTTGATAGAAGCAGAATGTATGGCGTATCTCCCTGGGGATTTATCAATGCCAAATAATCCTTTGCCTTGTTTTTAATGATGATCGATAATAAATTAATAATTTAATAGCATTTGATGTATATATGATTATTTCATAAGGCTAACACTTCAGTTTTCGCGAGACTTGGCTTTTATGACTCACTTTTTTCTACCGTACTACTCTCGGCTCATTTAAACTTCTTCTCCCGATCGTGTCAACTTACATGCAGGATTAGTACTGTGAACCAACATAATGCTTGAAACTCACCGGATGATGACCCTGCTCTTTCTCTGAAGGCACTCTTTGGCATGAAAACCGGTGCTGTTCAGCTTGGAGGGAGGGGAGCATTTCGCTTCTAGGCCATTCCGTTTTGCTAGCTCCTGTTGGATCAAGGCCTCACCTTAGTGAGACCTGTGGACTCTTGTCAGGTGTAAGTGGAGCTCCTACTACTGCTACCTTTGCAGGAACTCACAAGTTCGCAGAGGAGGCATCAGCAGTGATGGGTGCTTAGAAAATGCCTCCCCTCAAAGCTGAAACGCTCCCGAACACGCCTCTGAGCTGAGTTCAGCCTCGAACAGGAGGCCGAATTTGCACTTTTCCTGACGATTTTATTGCCGTTCCGTCATTTTTATACCGCCTTTTATGGGAAATACCCGCCATCCTTCGTAGATTCGCTCGTTTTTTACGTCCTGCTCTCCTCTAAAAATGTCATTATTCAGCCCGAAATGGATCATTCGACGATGTTCACGCTGTCGAATTGGCTTCGTTCCAAGAAGAAAATGTTCCAGGTGAGCTTTGCTCTGTGCCCGTTTGTCGAACGCCTACCATGTCATTACGATGATTTCACTCCCTCTTGCTCGACTTTTATGCTCTTCAAATTGACAATCCTTCATTTTTACGTTTTACATCCGCTTTCCTCGAAATTTAAGGCAGGGAACATCTGATTCTTTGTTCTAAAGTAGGTTTTATCAAAGTTTCACTCGGGGGGGGAGAGGATCTTATGAACACAACCACTGCATCTCTTCGAAGCAAGAACGCCTGGCCTCCGTTTGTCTGACATTCTGGGACCAGCGCTCGTAGCGCACATACCAGATGTTCCCCCTCCCGCAACTGGTATAATATTCGTGAACTTCAACCAAATCCACCGCCTGGGAGAAATTTCCGTTGGGATCGAAAAGGATGGGGTAGGAAACGTTAAATGTTGTTCATTTGCAAAGAAAACGTTCCCATATGCCCACCCATCGGTTCTGTTAGGTGACAATTGCGTGCAAGGAACATCATCGTTGGGGATTCCCTCAGCAGGAAAGTTGTATTTGGTCGCTGGGCGGAGGGGGGGGAGGGTCGTATTCGCCTCCTGAGAGAAATTTGCGGCGAGAAAAGTTTTCCCCGGCTTGTTTCGCATTTTTTCCTATTTCAATTGTATGTATAATGTTGTATACCCCTCCTGCCCGCCGCCCCTGCGATAGCTCGATCGTATCAGAGGAGAACTAGGGGGTTACATGAAGTCACTCCCAGGGTGGTTCTGCGCGGACTCGATCAAAACATCCGCATACTAACGCATGTGCCTGATTGGGTGACGCACTTACAAGCAGAACGCGATCGAAGTGTTCAATTTAATCGAGTTTAAAACCGAAATCCTGCTCGCAAAATTTCCCTTTTTGTCCATTTGGAAGATCGATTGTCCTGTTAATGGAGAAGAATTTTTATCGACCTGACCCTAAAGGGCATCGCTCCAAAGTGCTTCGTTTTATGAAACCAACGCATTAATGGAAGAACTCATTTATGGATTGCACTGTCACCTGATGGGATGCACTTTTCGAGTGAGCGTTGCTCATGGTCCAAAGACAAGAGTAGAAAGAGCGCTTTCCCATAACACTAATTGAATTGCTGCCGCTCATAACAAGCGGAACACGTGTTTCTCACTATAAGCAACGAAGTCGGAGAATCAGCTGAGCATGTGAACGGATAGGGTGATTTTAGATGTTTCACATCACACGAAGGAATTACTTTGCAGAATATGCCTCCCCCCCAACTTCTTCAGAGATTGTATGTAGAGAGATTGAGGGGAGAGAACATCGACCAGCAGCACGTACTTGTAGTAGAAGGTAGTAGAAAAGAAGACACCACTGTTAGGAGAATGAGACTGAAATACCAATCTCGCCCTTTCCCTCTCTCTTCTCCCTCCCCTGTCTGTTGAAAAATCCCCAAATTTGTTCCATGTACCTTTTCATTCTTCGTTATGAAGAGGCACATCATCCCTGAGTAATGCTCAGTTAGGGTCGTATTTGAGTCACTTTTGGTAGGAGTCGTGTGTATCTCGTTGAGAAGCTCTGTGTGGGTGAAATGGTGTGGAAATTTTCAGAAAGGATGACAGCTTTTATCATTTCTGCATCCTCCCGTTCCTCGTCTCCGTTTCAGTCAGTAGAGGGCAC